TGGGAGGTTCATCCCAATTCTCAGCATGTGGGAGCAAGGGAATGCTCTGAAATCTTTACTCCAGAGGGAACTGACCTGTCCCCATTTTCTTGTGATACATGTGAATGTTTGATGAGGTTTCCCTAGATGTCTGTGGCCTCCTGAGGCCTGGAATTTGTGGGCCAGGGCTAACCTAGGAGCTGGGTGAAATTACTTATAGGCCTTGGGCATTCCAAGACCAAACCTGATAAATTGACCTATAATGATAGTTTAGTTCCTCTAAAGAAAATGAACAATACTTCACAACATCTATCTTTATACAGTACTCAATAAATGGTTGTTTAAAAGGAGAAAGGATGCTAAAAGGCAATAAAATAAGAATTAACAGCATTTTAAATTTTTGAGCATTATCAGAAAATACATGTGAGTGCCATGGGCTGTTGGAAACCATAAACTGAGGTAAAAAAACAAAACCATAAACTGGTGTGTATATATATATAAAGATATATACATCTTTACTATATATACATATATATATAGTAAAGAAATAGTAAAAGAGGAAGTAGAAGAAAGAACACAAGAGACAAGATAGGAATGAGGTAGAAAGAAGGTTTTTTTAGAAAGAAGGTAAGAAAGTGTATTTAATATACCTTTTAATCATTTCCTTATTCAAAGATCTTCAGTGGATCTTCAGTACCTACAGGGTAAATTCCAGCATCCTAAGCTGATATTTAATGTGTTCCATGATCTATTTAGAGCTCACCTCCCCAACACATGCCCTCTTTATTTATGGAATTTTCCCAGAATATTCCTTTGGGTTTCTTATCTTCTTTTGTCTTTGTCCCTGAGGAAAATCCTGTGTTCTTTAAGACACAGCCTTGAGGACTAAGAAGTTTTATACAAATAGCATTTATGAACCTTGGTCTTTACCATATTTACTTTAGACTTAGCATTTTCTAAAATGCCTCCCTCAGATAGTACTCCACATAACAGCAGTGGTGAATTAGGGGTGGCTTATTCTAGGAATTCTGACTCTAATGCCATCAAATATTTGTATCCTAGGAGTTCTGTACGTGGGTTTTTTTTTTTTTTTTTTTTTACAGGTTATAGAATTTAGATAATTACAAAACTACTCTTCCCACTAATTTTCATTATGCTACCAACTTCTGCCAGTGGAAATGTGTCACACAGGTAGAACTGTGTCTTCACTTTACTAAACTCTTCAACTTTGGGAGATTTTTCTTACTCATTTTTTCCAAAGACTCTATTTTGCTAGAAATCGGCATCCAGCTTTTACTGAAAGCCTTTAGAGAATCTTCCCATGCCAAAGTTATTTGAAAAAGAGTTTCTATTTTTTCATCATGATAAGGAATGTTGAGTTTAAAAGATTTAATAAAAGCAATAAGACTGGAGCATTTCTACCAGAATATATGAAAAATCACATTTCCAAGAGCTGGGATAAAAAGACCACACTCCTTTTTTTTTTTTAAGATTCTATTTATTTATTTGAGAGAGAGTCAGAGATAGCAAGAGAGAGCACAAGCTGGGAGGAGAGGGAGAAGCAGGCACCCCTCTGAGCAGGGAGCCCGACACAGGGCTTGATCCCAGGACACTGGGATCATGACCTGAGCCAAAGGTAGATGCTCAACTGACTGAGCCACACAGGCACCCCAAAAGACCACACTCTTATAGAGCAGTAAAAATTAAATTCCTGCAGATATCCAAATTTAAGTGCACATTTGTCTTTAGCACTCACCTGCATGTGTGAAGGGAGATGTATCTTACAACTCTGTGGGACTTTACATATAAACAGCTCCTAGGAGAGATAGTTACAAAGAGAAACCCAAGAAAACACTCAACACTTGGGTATTCAAGTGTATTCAAGTGTAACTCAATGCACACTTGGGTATTCCAAGACCAAAGTCAGTAAGTTGAATCTGTAACACCAGCTCAGTTCCTATAAGGAAAATTAACAAAAATTTCTGCAACATCATTGTACTCTAAGGAGCCAATCTTATCTTTAAAAAAAGTTATACTTTAATTAATCCCTAAGAACTAAAGGGACAGCTATAATTAATTTTCATTTAGTACAAAAACCTTACATTACAATATGCAGAAATGAAATTTAGCAAGATGGCCACCAAAATCATTATTTATGAAACTTTGCAGATTACAACACTTAGGCCTCATGTGGATCATTCACAAGTAGCCTGCAGTCCTCCAGGCCCTATATAATTCCTGCACTTGAATATTTTGTGAGCATAAGGTCTATAGTAGTCATATCAGACTTGGGTAATGCATGATCCAAAGTGCCTCCACTAGTGGAACCAAAGACGTGCTAAGAGAATTGAAAGAGAAAGGGGCTTCTGGGCATGAAAACACAACTTACTCTGGTGTTAAATGAGGTCAAGGAGTAGTATATCAATGTACTGGTGTAGCTATTTCCAGATTTGTTGAACTCTGGGGATTGATTCCTTCTGATTCTGGCCACTCCAAGTACATGTCATTTCTAGTAGTTCCTTTATCACTGCAGTCAAAATATTCTGGCTGTATTGAAATAAACTTTGTTCACAGATTCTCCCTAGCCTCCAGCACCATACCTTGGTTCATTTTGTTTCCTCTTCCTGGGAAGTCTCTTCCCTTCTGCCTGTCAGATATACCACCCGTTTTTAAGGACTAGCTTAAAACCCAACCCCCTTCCAAGCCCAGCTAGTATCTTTAAAGTGATGATTCTGAACTCTAGATCTGACATCGTACTAATGTCCGTATTGAGTAGGTCCCTGGCAGTCGGTACTACCTCTTGTTCTTTTTGTTGAGGTGATTTTTTCCGTCTTGTCATTTTGTGCAGAGGAGAATAGATTAATGAGAGAACAAAATGCTAGCAGAGTAACCACGTCCCCAGAAAATATACTCTAAACAAATCAGAAAAGACCTTCCAGAAAGTGGTCGCTTTTCTGATGAGAGAGTTGTTGCTCTTCTTCTCTTCAATCTCCTGTTGAGTTTGTAGGTGTTCAGAATGGTTTGATCCCTATCCAGCTGAATTCCTGAGAGGAGACGAAATCCAGGTCTCCTACTCCTCCGCCATCTTGCTCCGCCCAGCCCCAACCCCCTTCCTAAAGCCCTCCACAACTGCCAATCTCTGGTGATTCCTGCATCTTTTAAATTCCAACATCCTTTTCTTTTCTTCAGTATTTATTGTCTTGTTTATCTGTAAATTTTTTCTATGTAAATCTTTTTTATCCAGCTACATTATACTATTCTTAAACACAGAAATTATGTTTTGTAATGCTTTGTGTACCAAACATTGCCTAACATACTACCTATCCTGGTAGATATACATTAAATATCTGTTGACTAGTTGATATTATCTATTACTTTCATGCCAATTTACCTGTTATGCTGTTTCTCAAAGAAAAAAACAAAAAACAAAAAAACATCTCATAGATCCAAATTTGGAAACCGCATTCTGAGCTACTTTACAAAGCTTTCATTTGTGCAGTCACGACATCATGTGTCAATAAGTGCATGTTGGTCCTGGAATTCATGGCAATCCTTCGTTATTAGGGAATATTCAAGATGGTCAAGATCTTAATTTTTAGAAACTGTTGGTAAGATTCTAAAAAAAAAATATTAAAATCCTCATAAAACTCTCAGATCCTAGAGAATTCTACTGAAGTATTCCTCCCTATGAGAAACACTATTTTAATAAACTCGACTACTCTGAACTGTGGAATTAAAAGAAAATCATTATGGTCATTATGACAAAATATATTCAAAGCCTTAAAAATATATGTATTTTTGATTGTTCAGTTTTACTTCTGGAAAACACATTCTGAATAAATAAAGATGTACACAAATAGCTACAAGGATATTTGTTATAGAACTAAAGTATAGGGGCGCCTGGATGGCTCAGTTGGTTAAGCGACTGCCTTCAGCTCAGGTCATGATCCTGGAGTCCCTGGATCGAGTCCCGGGATCGAGTCCCGCACCGGGCTCCCTGCTCAGCGGGGAGTCTGCTTCTCCCTCTCCCGCTCCCCCCTCTTGTGCTCTTTCTCTCTCTCTCAAATAAATAAAATCTTAAAAAAAAAAAAAAGAACTAAAGTATAATATGCAAAAATATTTAAAAACCTAAATAACCAAAAATAGGTGATTGGCCAAATAAATTGTACAACATACAAGGGAGCCATTAAAACGTGTGCTATACAAGAATATTTAATGAAATGGAAAGATGATATCAACATATTGTTACATGAAAAAAGAAGTTTTAAATATAATTGTATATCAGAGCACCTGGGCGGCTCAGTCAGTTAAGTGTCTGCCTTTGGCCCAGGTCATGATCCCAGGGTCCTGGGTTCAAGCCCCATGTGAGACTCCCTGCTCAGCAGAGGGTCTGCTTCTCCCTCTCCCTCTGTCACTCCCCCTGCTTGTGCTCTCTTGCTCTCTCTGTGTCAAATAAATAAATAAAATATTTAAAATATATATATATATGTATGTATGTGTATAATTGTATTTTTAAAGTACTGGAAAATAAACTTCAAATGTTGATTATGATATGAAATAATCATATTTACAGATTTCCAAATTTTCTACAGTGAAAATGTAGTATTAAGGTATTAAAATTTTAAGTAAATATCTAGCCAGTACCTCAGAATTACTCATTAGGGTCACATAACTGATAGCCAAGAAAAATATATTATGTAAACTTCTTTTTTTTTAAGTAGGCTCCATGCTGGGCGTGGAGCCCAACGCAGGGTTTGAACTCACAATCCTGAGATCAAGACCCAAGTTGAGGTTAAGAGTCAGACGCTTAACTGACTGAGCTATCCAGGTGCCCCTTTTATGTAAACCTCTGAATTAATCACAGGACAAACTAAATAAAGGATCTCACATCTTGATGATTTCTTTAGGAAAGTGAATGAATGTCATATGGCTACAGCCAACCAATGAGATAAGATTGTAGGAAGAATATTACTTCCCAGCATTGTTTGTGCCTCACAGCTCTTACTTATTTTTGTTTGTAGGTCCATGGAAAGTGTATGTGTAAGCACAACACAGCAGGTACCCACTGCCAATACTGTGCACCATTATACAACGACCGCCCCTGGGAGGCAGCTGATGGCAAAACAGGATCTCCTAAAGAGTGCAGAAGTGAGTACCAAGCCCACAAGACTAAAAGCCTTCTTTGTAAACTATCGGTGGACTCCGAGTTGTCTCTAGAAACACAATATAAAGTGGTGGGTGACAGGCACTGTAACCTACACAAATAGCCCATATCACTGCTCACTATGACCTCAACCATTGGAAGCAGTCACTGCTTGCAAAGTTGCCAATATGACTATTTTGCCAACAATGTGTTGCCCATTTTCTTGGACACTTTGCAGGACCAGGATCTAAGCACTGTTCTTGAGAAGTTGACATAATAAAAACATGGCTAGACACAAGAGCAACTGAGGATTATGGCATACAATTACCCTCGAAGCTGAGATATCGAATTATAGCATGATTGATTGAATGAGAGAAATTCAGTTCTCAAAACAACCCTGAAAGCAAGCAGGTGGTGTTAATCCCACTTTAGAGATCAGGAAATTGAGGCTCAGTAAGATTAAGTAACTTGCCAAAGTTAGTAAATAATAGTCAGGACTTGATCCCAGCTCTTCAGTCTCCAAATTAAATGTTTTTTCCGTAATACCATAGTGCCCTTCTTTTCACTTACGGTACCTGAAATGACAAATTGGATTTGAAATTAAGCCAGTTAATCAAGAATGAGACTGCATTACTAGGGCTAACTTCGGGTTTGAGGTTGGAGATTAGATAAGAGGGTAAAAAATACGGGAATACAGACCATTTTTTTCTTCACAATTCAAAATGTTCAGAGAAATACACATGTCCATAACAATGTTTATACTCACAAACTTCAGTTTGACAAGGATTTAAAGGCAAGTACTGTCAGTAACATTGTGGGAAGTCTCCTCCCATACATAATTTGGAATCCTAATTGATTTATTTTAGTTTCTAGGAAATGTAAAGGATTTCCTCTAAGCATAAATTTTAAATTGTTTTATATTATGCTTTTTAAAGATTATGAGTCTCGTCAAAATATCATAACATGTCAAGGAAACAATGAAAAAACAATAGCACAAACACAGTTGACCTCCAGGAAAAAGTCTGGATTCTTATTCTAAATCACTCATCAAGAGAATCTAAAGAATTTCTCCTAAATTCCTAGAGTGCCATTCTGCTCTTTCCACAGACACCAACTTGTGTATCTAAATACATATAGAACACGGGGACTTGTCACTTGGTGCTATTGATAATCTTATAAATGCCTTTGAGAAATTGTTACAAAAGAAACAATGCAAACCTCTTCTACAAAAAAACAAAAAACAAAAACACAAAAAACCTAGGCTTCTACAGGAGACTGTCTTGTACTCACCAGTAAGTACATCAATAGCTGAGGAATAGTGCTTCATGAAAGACAAATCAATCTACCTGCCAAGCTACTAACCCCTGTCCCACTACAAGGTTCCTTCGAGGCTCATTAGAGAGCATGAATTCAGGCCTGTATCTGCAATATGAATTTTCATTTTCAAATAACGTCTGACAATGTAGAGTTTTCTAAGCACGGTCAGGGGACCCACAGTGATGACATACTGGTCCTTGGGACGCAGCAGGAATGGAAATGGTAAAGTATTACTGTCAAAAAGGGAAAAAAAATGGGTAGCCACTCAAATAGTCTTTCCAAAATAAGTGTCAACCCCAGTTGCTAAGGAAACAGTCATATCTCTGCCTAAGAAGACAGATCTACGCTTTGCTAACCTTCAGGCATATCTTAAAACTTAATTTTTTTAAATTTGAATTTTTTAAATTTTTTAAATTAAATTAAAGCCTCCGCCTTTTTATATGCTGTTTTGATTCTTGTACTGTGAAAATGTGCACTATTTAAAAGGCTAAAAATCAAATTAAAAACTAACACTGTATGTTAATTATATTTGAATAAAAAAAAATTAGCAATCAGCTTACCCTATTTTTAAGTGCCTGAATATTAAAGAACTTGTTGTTTTAAATGATTTGTTTTCCCTCCCATGCCTTTTTCCCCCTCAGCCTGCAAGTGCAATGGGCATGCGGATGCCTGTCACTTTGACATTAATGTGTGGGAGGCATCAGGTAATCGTAGTGGTGGCGTCTGCAATGACTGTCAGCACAACACAGAAGGTCAGCATTGCCAGCGATGTAAGCCAGGCTTCTACCGGGACCTCCGGAGACCCTTCTCTGCTCCAGATGCTTGCAAAAGTAAGTGAACTAGTGATTACTAGGAAAAAAAAAAAAAAAAAGCTTGACTTGTACAAAAGAGATGCATCTTGCCATCCTTCATACGCTGGTCCATGGGAGAGAGGTCATGAAATTCTCAGACAGTACACTCACACACACACTAGTTCATTTCTTCATTGATAAGAGGCATGAATTTTTAACTTGTTAGGTGAAAAGAGTATAATATTCATAAGAGTAATCTCTTTTATCACTCTGCACGAAGTAAAATTGTTTCCTGTAGCACCACATTTGGGAAAACAAGATGACAAATAAAAGAGAAAAAAACGATGATGGAGAGGGAGATATGTTTAAAATTATCTTAAGGGGCAGCTGGCTGCCGTGGTTTGTAGAGCATGTGACTCTTGATCTTGGGGTCATGAGTTCAAGACCCACGTTTGGTGTAGAGATTACTTTAAAAAAAAAGTATGTGAAATTTTCTTAAGACTAAATATATGAGTAGGACGTAGGCAATAAGCAGACTCAAACCAATGAAATAAGGAGTGGTTATCTGTATTTGGGTGACTCCAGCTTTCATCTCTGCAGTGAATTTGAACACCTGAAAAACCACAGGTTTTGGTGTCATTATGAATACACTTCGGCTGACACTGCCCTTATGTACCCCTGTATCGTAAGCTAATTTAGAACATAACAATAATCTCCTACTCATCCCCCAAAATACTAAATTCTTATAGAATGGATTTTGCTTTTTTGTTAGTATAGTTCCAAGAGGTTTATATGAAAAAAGAGTAGAATTTTAACAGATCTGCTCAATTAATGAGACATTATCTAAAACGTGACCATGAAGGGTACAGTCGGAGCTTCAGAAGATGTCCAGTGTGGATGAATAGCTCATCTAACTACATGAGTAGTTATACATCTATCAACTCAGAAATTATTAGATGACAAAAAACACTCAAGATTGTTAATGGAGATTGATGAACATGCACTTCCTTTCCCCACCAAGGACTCCATGTTCTAGCTCAAAAACAGTGACAGGAAGGGAGCAATACAATGGGAAATAATCATTTAAAATCTTGTTTTTTTTTAATTTAAAGGAAAAAATCCTGTTGCTCTTGAAAAATACATATTGTTAACATCAGACAGGTGATATCTACATGAAATTTGAGTGGGCTTGCTTGTTACAAGCTTTCTCTCAAATTGTAGAAGACAGAGGTGGCCCAGCTCACTTTCAACATTGAGCTCAAAATTTCTATCTACATCCTAATATTTCTCTGAGAATTCTGTTTTACTCTTGCTCCTTGTCTGTACTCAAACTTTCATTTTAATAGGTTTTGAAAAGATCTAGAATAGAAGCTTTCCCTGCTCCTTATGGCTGTGTGACCCTATGCCAGCTATTAAAGCTGTTTGGACTTTGATATTTTTTCTCCCTGTAGAGCTGTAATGAGAACTATATAAGATAAAGTATGTGAGGGGCACCTGGGTGGCTCAGTCAGTTAAGCATCTGCCTTCGGCTCAGATCATGATTCCAGGGTCCTGGGATAAAGCCCCTTTCCCCTGGAGTCATCAGGCTCCCTGCTCAGTGAGGAGTCTGCTTCTCCCTCTGTCTCTACCCCACCACCCCACCCCACACCCGCCGTGTACTCTCTTGCTATCTCTTTCTCTCTCAAATAAATAAATAAAATTAAAAAAAAAAAGATAAAGTATGTGAACTGTTTAGCACATTGCCTATTATAGTAAGCCCTCAAGAAATGAAAACTAGTATTAAAACAACTATTATTGTCGTATATGATAGAAGGTGGGAAATAATATTACAGAGTCTCTACTCTTTATTGATCAAAAATACCTGTGTCAAAGGTAATTACTTCTTTAAAATCCACAGGACCTTAGGGAATAAACTAAAGACTTCTTAACCCCAAGGGCTGAATGAAGGGTCTGCTTATAAAATTGCTTAGATTCACAATATATTCAGTCCTAATACCATTTTCTCCAGGATATATTTAAATAAATAGAGGGGTGTGTGGTTGTCCCAGTCAGTAAAACATATAACTCTTAATCTCAGGGTCGTGAGCTCAAGCCCCAAGTTGGCCATGGAACCTACTAAAATAATAATAATAAAAAAATAAAATAAGATTTAAAAAAAAAGGGCACCTGGCTGGCTCAGTCGGTGGAGCATTCGACTCCTGATCTCGGGGTTGTGAGTTCAAGTCCCACGTTAGGTGTAGAGATTACTTAAAAATTAGATCTCAAAAAAAAAAAAAAGATAGATAGATAGATATAGATAGATAGATATGTGTATTGCATATCTTCAGACCACTAGTAGAAATGTCTAAAAACGAGAATGTACTAACTACCAAGCAGATAAAATAGGAAAGGAAGTTAATTTATCATTAAGTGACTTAGATACATAAGGTAACTATCTTGTAGGACAACAGGCAACGTTTTCCCAAAATACATTTTCAAAGATACAATTAAATAGCATTGACTTGAAACAGTATGTTGTACAATGTACCTAACTTACATATTTGTTCATTCAGTCATCCAATGGATATATATTGAGTGCCTGTTATGTGCCAAGTGTTTGGGATACATCAGGGAACAAAAGAAAGTTCTCTAACCATTAAAAACAGAAATAGAAAAGGTTTATTGGCAGACTTGGAGCCAAGATAAATACCTTTTTTAATTTTTGTTTTGTTTTCTCTTTGTTACTGTGCTATGTTCAAGCTATGGCTCATATTCTTACAAAATATAAAAAGGTTGACAGCTCTAGCTGTTGATATCCTAGAGAGCTTACTACTTCAGAATTTTATAAAAAGAATATGAAAAGGAAGATTAGTTAAAAGGTGACTCCTTGTTAATGGTCACTACTTACATAACTATTCCAGAGACTTGTACAAAAAAAGAACTTACAAGTTCTGGTCCCCAAACTACTCTATGAAAACATAAGCAAAATGTGAGACTGTAGCTAAAACTAGCACATAAGAGAGACACAGTCTTTTCACAGTGTTTAGGTATATGTGGTGTAAATGTATGTATGTATGTATACATATATTTATGTAGGCAAATAGTGTGTATATGTGTGTGCATGTATGTTAGATCACACAAGTATCAGTATTGTGTTAGAGTGTATGGAGGAGAGCTCATAAGAGGAGCAATTAACAAGAGTTGAGTGTTTTGAGTTTTGATGTAAGACCTGAGACCTGAAGTTTAATAGGAATCAACATAACATGGGTAAGGGTATTCCGTCTGGAGAAAAAAAAAACAGTGCCAAAAAGGAACAGAAGGAAGAAAGAACATGACATATTCTGAGAACTGAAAAAAATGCAGAATGACCATAGAGGCAAGAAAGAAGGGGGAAAGGCAAGAAAAGGTAAAGGAATGAGAGTAGTAGGAAAGATGGGTGGTTGGCTGGAGATGTCCTCATCTTGGACATCTCAGTCAGTGAGATGGAGCTGATTGAACTACCCACAAGTAGTTGATAATCAGCCAATAAATATCAGTTAGCATAATTTTCCTGGGCCCTGCCAAGTTGATATTTATAGGCATTATCTAAGTATTAGAAGACCAAAAGCACCAAAGCCATTTCAGTGAAAACTCCCATCAAGACCACATTAATATATTTTTTTTAAAAAGAAACATTATAAGGTAATTATAACAAATTTTTCTGAATTAGTTCCTCAACACTTTAAGTTGTCATGAGATTCTGAAAGACTTGAAGATAGGAACTACTATTAATGAGTCAAACTGCTAATCACCCCTAAACAAATACCTTTGTGGTATTTAATGTACCAAGTAAGGAAGTTATGAAAATAACTGATACCAATTTAGTCCTTTTAGCATAATTTGTAGGAGGTAGATGGATTAGTGGGGAAGATCTGTGTTTCCTTCTTTCCTTCTCTGGACAGCATCCTGATCCACTGATTAGACAGCTGAGGAAGGCACATCTCCATTCATTCTATGACTGTTCCAGCATATGTGTGGGACAAGTTGTCTGCATCAACTTCCCTAGCATGGATTTCTTTACTGGCACCTTCTTTCAGAATATTATTCTTTTTGTTCTTCTCTTCCCTTTTCTGAGCCAGGGGTAACTCCCAACATTTATTAGAACATCTAATCCTTTTCCCCCTATCTTCACACTCTCCGTAATATATTATTTGATTGACAATATGTTTAGCAGAGTTTTTTCATTTTTATTTAGCAATATTTTCATATTATTGACCACCTCCTTAACAGATGTGTCTATGTGTCACCTTCAGAATTATTAATTCTTTTTTTTTTTTAAAGATTTTATTTATTTATTCGACAGAGAGAGACATAGCGAGAGCAGGAACACAAGCAGGGGGAGTGGGAGAGGGAGAAGCAGGCCTCCTGCCGAGCAGGGAGCCCGATGCGGGACTCGATCCCAGGACCCTGGGATCATGACCCGAGCCGAAGGCAGACGCTTAACGACTGAGCCACCCAGGCGCCCCAGAATTATTAATTCTGATAATAAAGTTTATGATAAATAAGTTAGTGTACCTAACATTTTATTTTTATAAAGATTTCTTTATTTATGAGAGAGAGAAAGAGAGAGAGATATAACGTGCACAAGTGGGGGAAGAGGCAGAGGGAGAAGGAGAGGATCTCAAGCAGACTCCCTGATGATTGCAGAGCCCAATGTGCGGCTTGATCCCAGGACCCTGAGACCATGACCTAAGCCAAAATCAAGAGTCAGATGCCTAACTGACTGAGCCACCCAGGGGCCCCTGTACATAACATTAATGTTACAGTGTACCAGATTTCATGCTAGATGCTGATAGAAATATTGCTGTAACTAGAACTTTTCTCCCCATTAGTTCCCACTTTTCTTTTCTGAAGAAGGTAGTATCAGGAAAACATGTCAATATTATGATACGATATTAAAAAATTTAAACTATCTCAGTGTGTGTTTATATCAACATGTACAATGTTATTCAAAATAACAATTTTATTATATTTATTCTACTGTGCTTACCAAGGCGGAAAAGTAACCTGCTACTCAGCGT